GGGGGCCAGGGGACGGAGCTCACGGTGACGCCCGGGTGGGGGAGACCGGGGGCCAGGGGACGGAGCTCACGGTGACGCCCGGGTGGGGGAGACCGGGCAGAGAGGCTGTGGCCCCAGAGCGCAGCCCTGTTCTCTGCAGAGGGCGAGCCCCTAAGGGAAGCCTGTCCTTCGGCTCCCTCCCTGCAGGCCTCCCTCCCCTCTCCCTTCCTTTGTTACCTCCTTTTCTCCCCGCCCTTTCTCCCTCCTCCCCTCTCCCCGTGGCAGGTTCACTGAGTCACACCTGCTTGGTACCACCGCTGCCTCGGGACAGGGGCATCTCCGCAGGGAGGAGACACAGGCGTCCGGTCTCCTCTGAGACCTGCAAAGTCCCCATGGCGAGCTGGAAGCGACTGGGGCACCCCCACCCCAGGGCTCAGCACCCACAGCCAGGACAGAGCAGGGGCCACTATCAAGGAGCACCTCAGGGATGGGTCCTTCCCGTCAGGCCTGCGGCTGGGGTGTGGCAGCGACTCCCTGGCCTTGGGGCACGGCCTCTGGAGTGCCGGGAAGGTGGGTGCACAGGGCCTGCTCTTTCTACCAGGGAGCCTTTTAAAGGCAAACACGAGACTTCTCCCCGATGAACTGCCTGGGAGAAAACAGCCTGTCGGGGAGACGGATCAGGGAGGCCAGCGGCAAGCGGGGCACAGTAGGGACAGGGCGCTGGGCTTGCACACCTGACTCCTGGGACGTTCTAGGGACGTTCTAGGGCCTTGTCATCTCCAGAGAAATAAAATTAAATGCAAAAAAAGCAAACCGTGCTCGCTGGTCTGACAACATCGCATGAAGTGCCGCTGTGCTGTGGCTACACACACAAACACACTCAACGCCCCACTGTGCACCAGCCTAAGTCACACCAGCGGGTCTCAGGCAGAAGCAGTGTCTCCGCAGGGGCCATTTGGAAACTTCTGGAATTTTTTGTTGTCACATGTAAGTGGGTGGGAGGGCTATTCTCTCCAGTGGGTGGGAGCCAGGAGTGCTGCGACCTTGGTAACTAGGACAGCTCCTACCCAAAGCAAGAAGGATCGGGAATAGAAGGTCAGTGGGGGCCCTCCCTGGGGCGCAGCGGGTCACAGCGCAGCACTGAGAAGCTAAAGCCGCTTCCGCATGAGTTCGATCCC